GTGAGCGTGCGAGGGCGGAATCGCTGGAGAGCCTGAGGCTGGGCCCAGGGCTCTGCGTTCCCAGGCCCTGGCCTCGCCACCTGGCCTAGTACCTGGCCTGGCTGTCCGCAGCTCCTCTCTCTGGGGCGAGGCGGCTCGTTCCGGGCAGGAGCCTGCCGCCAGGGCGATGAACTCTGGGTGCCGTGTGCGCGCGGGTAGGATGGGCAGAGCTGTGCCGAGGGCGGGCGCTGTGCTCCTCCGTGGCTGTGTGCTCCAAAAACTTGCCAGCTGTCTACACTGGCCGCTTGAATTTCCGCAAAAGCACTGACTTCCTACTGTAAGAAATCAGTGCTTCCTGCGGAAATACTGTGCTGCTCCCGTTCGGGCAAAAGTCCTTTTGCACAAAACTTTTGCACAAAAGGGCCAGTGTAGACAGCTCAGATTTGTTTTCCGCAAAAAAGTCCCGATGGTGAAAATGGTGATTGGGGCTTTTTTGCGGAAAAGCGCGTCTGGATTGACAAAAAGTGCTTTTGTGGAAAAGCGTCCTGCCAATCCAGACACTCTGTTCCGAAAATGCTTTTAACGGAAAACTTTTCTGTTAAAAGAATTTCTGGAAAATCAAACCAGTGTAGACGTAGCCCTGTTGGCCTGGCTTTGTCTCCTTCCCACGCCCGGCGCGCAGGCCGGCCGCTGTCGCGCTGAGATCCCCTTGGGTTCTGCTTTGTCTCCTTCCCTGTCGCGCTGAGATCCCCTCGGGTTCTGCTTTGTCTCCTGCCCTGTCGCGCTGAGATCCCCTCGGGTTCTGCTTTGTCTCCTGCCCTGTCGCGCTGAGATCCCCTCGGGTTCTGCTTTGTCTCCTGCCCTGTCGCGCTGAGATCCCCTCGGGTTCTGCTTTGTCTCCTGCCCTGTCGCGCTGAGATCCCCTCGGGTTCTGCTTTGTCTCCTGCCCTGTCGCGCTGAGATCCCCTCGGGTTCTGCTTTGTCTCCTGCCCTGTCGCGCTGAGATCCCCTCGGGTTCTGCTTTGTCTCCTGCCCTGTCGCGCTGAGATCCCCTCGGGTTCTGCTTTGTCTCCTGCCCTGTCGCGCTGAGATCCCCTCGGGTTCTGCTTTGTCTCCTGCCCTGTCGCGCTGAGATCCCCTCGGGTTCTGCTTTGTCTCCTGCCCTGTCGCGCTGAGATCCCCTCGGGTTCTGCTTTGTCTCCTGCCCTGTCGCGCTGAGATCCCCTCGGGTTCTGCTTTGTCTCCTGCCCTGTCGCGCTGAGATCCCCTCGGGTTCTGCTTTGTCTCCTGCCCTGTCGCGCTGAGATCCCCTCGGGTTCTGCTTTGTCTCCTGCCCTGTCGCGCTGAGATCCCCTCGGGTTCTGCTTTGTCTCCTGCCCTGTCGCGCTGAGATCCCCTCGGGTTCTGCTTTGTCTCCTGCCCTGTCGCGCTGAGATCCCCTCGGGTTCTGCTTTGTCTCCTGCCCTGTCGCGCTGAGATCCCCTCGGGTTCTGCTTTGTCTCCTGCCCTGTCGCGCTGAGATCCCCTCGCAGAAAATCAGCCGCTTTTCCGGAAAAACTTGCCAGCTGTCTACACTGGCCGCTTGAATTTCCGCAAAAGCACTGACTTCCTACTGTAAGAAATCAGTGCTTCCTGCGGAAATACTGTGCTGCTCCCGTTCGGGCAAAAGTCCTTTTGCACAAAACTTTTGCACAAAAGGGCCAGTGTAGACAGCTCAGATTTGTTTTCCGCAAAAAAGTCCCGATGGTGAAAATGGTGATTGGGGCTTTTTTGCGGAAAAGCGCGTCTGGATTGACAAAAAGTGCTTTTGTGGAAAAGCGTCCTGCCAATCCAGACACTCTGTTCCGAAAATGCTTTTAACGGAAAACTTTTCTGTTAAAAGAATTTCTGGAAAATCAAACCAGTGTAGACGTAGCCCTGTTGGCCTGGCTTTGTCTCCTTCCCACGCCCGGCGCGCAGGCCGGCCGCTGTCGCGCTGAGATCCCCTTGGGTTCTGCTTTGTCTCCTTCCCTGTCGCGCTGAGATCCCCTCGGGTTCTGCTTTGTCTCCTGCCCTGTCGCGCTGAGATCCCCTTGGGTTCTGCTTTGTCTCCTTCCCACGCCCAGCGCGCTGAGATCCCCTCGGGTTCTGCTTTGTCTCCTTCCCTGTCGCGCTGAGATCCCCTCGGGTTCTGCTTTGGCGCCGTTCCCACGCTGGCTCCAGCGGGAGCACCGGAAACCTTGCTGGCCACCCAGACTCTGGGAAGGCTCCTCGGAGCGGCGGGCGCGGGGGCTGCTGGGCGGCGTGGGAGACGCTCCCGTTGGCTTTGCTCCCAGCCTGTTCCAGATTTGCCCGTGTTTGTCCAGGCTGATCTTGGCGACCCCAGCCCGGCACAGAGCCCGTTCCCAGCCTGTCTGCATCCTCAGCAGGGTGCCGAGGCCTCCGGCTGGGATCTGCTCGGGGGCGGGGCGGGCGTGCACAGTCTGGCGCAGAGCCCAGCCGAGCGCTGCCCCTCCCTGCAGCCAGCCCCGCACGCGCCTTGCTGACGGCTGCAGCGGGGCTCAGCCCGCGGGATGTGGTGCTCCCTGTGCAAGTGTCGGCAATTGGCCACGGCCGGAAGCTCCGGGCTATGGCCCCCTGCCCGTGTCCCCTCCCCCCCGGGGCTACTGGCATCTGCCCAAGGCGGGAATGTGTGCGCCCGGGCCGGGGGCTCCCCGGGAGCGGGGAATCTGGCACGTCCGCGCCCCAGAGGCCGTTCCAGCCGGGGCAGGAGTGGGAGATCCCTGCGGCCGTGACCCGTCGGCCCCACACCCCGGGCAGGCCAGAGCAGCTGTGACGGAGCCCTCAGATGCTCATCAGAGCAGTAGCATCTCCTAAAGGTTAGAGCCAGGACTGGGCACCTGGGCCCTTGCCCCAGTGCTCTGCAGACCTCCCCACGGCAGAGCAGGAGTAACTAGGCCCTGTCCCTAGAGCCCGGCAGACCCG